CAGGATAGTTACTGAGTGTCTGTTGTACAAAAAGCCTGGGCTTAAATTGAATTACATGAGTGGCTGCCATTCCTGTGTGTAAATGCATCACAGACAAAATGCCAGCGAGGGGAAGGAGCTAATCAAGCTAAAGAATAATGCTGGCACAAGAACGAGTGTGCATAAACTGGCCATGGGTGAGCTTAGGGAGGAAGCTGGGGCGATCTTCCCTGCCCTTTGAGCAGCAGTTTTGCAGCAATCTTCCAGGAGATGTCATGGGGTACGAAATAGTGCAAGTTTTAGGGGGGAAAAAAGGTGAGGGTGTTCTCAGGAGTTAAACCAAGTGTGGGAAGGGGGTGCAGAGCTCTGCCTGTTCATTGGAGTGAGTTGCTCAAGGGCTCCAACTCCTCTTGCCTGCTGTGAGCTTCTGCTGTCTGTGCTTCTCAGCCAGATTTTGGGTGGTTGTTTGCCTTTCTGTGTTCCTGTCACTTCCTGACCACGGCCTTCTACTCTTGGATCTCATCCATCCTTCTGTTTTCTGATCCTAACCATCTTGTGAGATGCAAACACTTGCCGTTTGGCCAAAAGGAAAACAAAAAGACAGGGTAAGGTGTAACGCAGGTTTGGGGGGTATTTGTTTACAAGAACAGAAAATAGAAACAATGACAGCTGTTAACAGCTTGAACAAATTGTTTGTAGTGATTCCTTACCAAATAAATATGTTCAACCTTTCCCAGTTTTGCCTTCTGTTCTTTTTCTCCAAGCTGTTTATTAATAAGACTTGCAGTGATGATGACAGATTGGTTTTGCACAAAGCCATGTGTGAAAGTATCTTTAAAAAGAATTACCCGTGGTAAAATTCCACTAAATATATTTTAATGTCTCAGAACAAATCTTTTCAGCCCTGTGTCACCATCAACCACAAAATTCCTGTGCTAATGCATTTATTTAATTCATTATTTGCAAGAAAGGTAAATAATGTCCCTGTTGTAGAGATGAAGTAGCTGAGGTACCTGATGAACCTGTTTGAACTTTCACTCAGGAAAGTTTTAGTAAGTCATACTTGTCTGTGGATTCAAGCAAACACAGTCAGGACACCAGGAGAATATATAATTGGGGTTTTTTCTCATTTTTGTCTCAAGTGAGGGGAAAAAGGTGTTTCACTTGCCTATGGTTAGTGTGGAATCTCATAAATTTACAAAGGGCTCTGTAAGTTCTGGGGCTTTTGTTGGATTTTTTTGAAAAGTCTATGTAGCTTCGTTTCTAATCTGAGCTTTAAATTTAAGTGCAGCTTTGCAGGGTCACGGGTGAAATGGCCAGAATTTGGAAGGTAAGTTTAACCCACACTAATTCAGGTAGGGACCTGGTTATCTCCAAAACTGGAGTTTTCATCCCTTGAATGGATGAGCCCTTACACATCAGAAGGGGGAAATTAGTACTACTCTACTAAACAGGCTGCAGGGTTGAAGAGGAGATTTGTGTATTAGGAGTCAATGTGGTTAGCAGGTCACCGGGCTTATCTAAAATATTTTTCTAGTTGGATTATAGTTCCTTTTATTATTTATGTAAGAAGGTAAGAAGTGAAAATTTAAAAAAAACCACCCAGCAACCCAAGACAAGGTCAGGACTGGACTGTGCAGGAGTGGAGAAGTAGCAGGGAAGGGAAGTAGCAAGAATTAGGAGTGGCTAAGCAGCACCCACGAAAAAAAACCCACACAGGGCCCCTTTTAGAGTGAGATATGGGTGTAAACAGCAGGTGAGCTGCTGTTGACCTCTTAAGCCGATTGCTTTTTGCAGTTGTAAGCTGATAGTTTCATTCAGGAGCTTTTTAGAATCAGTGTTATTAATACTGAAGGGTAATACTGAAGAGAGAGAATAACTGTACATGCTTTAGGGTTCTGTAAGTAATTAATAGCTTGAGTAATGATTATCATGGCTTTATGTAATTGTGTATATGATAAACATTTGGGTTGTTTTTACTGGTACAGTTGGTATATTTGAAAATCTTGAGTGTGTAGAGCTTTTAAAGGATTGTACTTGGGCCCTCTACTGATCATTCTGAGAATAGGAAAAGCTGCCCTGCAATATTAAAATGCTGGGTAATGGGACTTTTGGAAAAGGGAAGATAAATTTAGGTAGAGAATCAAACTAAAGCTTGTTCTGTTTGAACAGGGCCATGCCCCCTCATTTTTTTTTAGAAAATCTAAAAAAAAAAAAAAAAAAAAAAAAAAAAAAAAAAAAAAAAAAAAAAAAAAAAAAAAAAAAAAAAAAAAAAAAAAAAAAAAAAAACAAAAAACCAGCCCCAAGCCCAAAATCGTAGTTGCATTAAAAACCACTTGACCTGTTTTGAGGTGTAAGATAAAATCCATTAAAGGATCAAATTGGAAAAAGGGCTTTATCCCAATGCCTTTTCTTTTTTGTTTTTCCCCCCCCTTATGTTTTAAAACTACCTATTTAAAATGTCGTGCATTCTGTACTCAGGCTTGAGCCATAACGAAGTTTAACCTAAGGGCAAGTTCCAGATGGTAACACCTGTCAAAT